CAAGCTCGCTGCTGGCGGCAGCTTCCAGTCCTGGTCGATCCTGGGTTACTGCTGGGGAGGCAAGATCACGACCCTGGCGTCTGGTCAGGACAACAAGCTGTTCAAGGCGGCGGTGCAATGCCACCCAGCGATGCTCGACCCCAACGATGCCAAGAGTGTCAACATCCCCATGGCGGTGCTGGCCTCCAAGGACGAGAACCCCAAGGATGTCGAGGCATTCGGTGCCAACCTGCAGCAGGCCAACTATGTTGAGACCTTCTCCACCCAGATCCACGGATGGATGGCTGCTCGCTCCAACCTCGAGGATGAGCAGGTGCGCAAGGAGTATGAGCGGGGATACCGGACCGCGCTGGACTTCCTCCAGAAGCACGCCTAAACACTGACGGTCAACATGCCATAATGAATGGGAATCTGAGTAATGAATTTTGTGAAACCAAAAGTGTATATATGACTGTCAGCAAATGCCCAAGTACAGTATCAGTATAATTGTGACTCGATCTACGTCCAGACTCAATTGTATAATATAGACTTAAATTGGAGTAGTGCTTGTGCCGGTCGGACCATCTTGCCCGACCGGGCCATGCCGGGAGCCGGATGGCCGACGTCATCGCTAGAGCTCCATTACCAAAGCTCATTCGCCTTCTTTTTGTTCTTCGACCTCCCTCGAACCGTCCGGATGCAGCCATCCCCTATCACCTTACCAGTGGACTGATCAGTACTAGCTAGACTAGATCGCTTTTTATCTGGGCTTTCTCCCCCCACATCAATTGTTTATTCCCTTATAACTATTTATTAGCTCTCGTTCGGGAGACCGCAATGAGTGCGGACACCATTCGAGTGTGGCAGCATATCTGCTCTGACTGATATCGCCCACACATCGTTCCTGTCCTCTTGCCTTTACACAGCATCAAAAGTACTCCTACCCGTTTGTCTCCGACAGCCCCAGAATGTCCTTCTTCTTTGGACGTCGTCATTCCATCTCATCCGCCACTCTGGGTCAGGGCGATAACCTGCCCAGGAACGAGAGGGGCAGGAGAGCTTCATTACCCAATGTGTCCGATACCAACAATACTGGATCCCACACCAAAGGTGTGATCCATGATATCTTTCACAAGCATCGAGGAGACTCGGAATCGGGATCCTCGTCCGGGACAAAGACGTCTAAATCGGTAAGGATACCAGCGCGGTCTGGGAGCTTTGCCCAAGGGGAGCCTGACCATCTCTAGGAGGCTGACATAGCCCGATCCAATCCCACAAAGCCGAATACAGACTCTCAAGACGAGCATCATGCTTCTCATCACCATTCGGATCAGGCTGCTAAAGCCCATCCATCACATCACCACGAGGGTCCTTCACACAACCAGCTGACAAAAAAGGACATCGAGACAATCTTCTCCGGGGCTCCATACTTTCTGCTGGAGAAGGGAAAGCATGGACTCTTCTACCCACAGATTATATTCCCTTTCGATGATCACGATCCCACCATTCAAAATCTCTGGGATAGACGGCCCCTTCCCCACGCCTCCTATACACTGTGCACTCTCCATGCTCATTTGCCTGTACCGGATGACTGGGTAATTGAAGGGGAAATGCCGGTTCATTTGGGGCACTGGAAACGATCGGAAGCTCCGAAGCGGGCGACTTTTGATGTCGGCGTTCACGAGGTCCCCAATATGCTGTCAGTCAATGGGAAAGACGCTGGTACAATCGGCTTTCGTCACTTTCTTGAGCTACCCGTCGCCGACTCTATCGTATACGCGGGCCCCGAAAAACCACGACCATGCTCTGACCTTCTTCATCTGTCAACTCTACCAGCAACCGAGGCGTATGAATTGATGGGGCACTATAATGACCCATATGCCCAGTGCTCGGATGGTACCGTTCATGACCGGAAGAAGTTGCTGTGCGAAGGACCGGTTGCATGGAAGAGGATCGGCGTTCGCGATATCGACTTGCGAGCCCTAGTGGAGCGTCTCCAGACGCTCAAGACACTCCGCTACGACATTTTGCACGGGGATACACCAAAGACGATTCTAGATATGGAATGCACTCGAGAGCTGTATAGTGGACTGTTTAACCGATTTCTGTATCCACCGGCGCGGTTTCTGTTTGCAGATGTCGGCGATTCCCATAGTTTGAAGGCTCAGATCAAAGCTTTGACAGTCGTGTTGGCTACCCCTGGGGCGTGGTTTGACTTCAGTCTGATCGATTGGCGATTGCACATTGGGCAAGTGTTGTTTGAGAATCCCCCACATGACGACGGCGACTTCCTTGATCCGGACAAGTCTGACAAACCCTGGGTGCATTTCACGCTGGAACGCAAGTGGTTTCTCGTCCAGATGCTGCTCGCCGCGGAGCTACTGATGCGTTTGGATGCCACTGTTCGAGTAGGAATGCTGCAGAATGCGCGGGATATCGATGTCTCGGTGCATGATGTGTACGAGTTTGACCGGCTACGGAGTGGTAAGCTGAATTGGGATCTGGTTACAGTTCGTCGTTTTCTGGACAGCTTCCATTTCACCTACAACCCTGTGGAGCCGGACCACCCTTCTCCGACCATACATGCTCCGAGCAAGTCGCCTGAGCGGCATCACCATCGTGGGTTCCTCGAAGCTTTCACACATCACTCTACATCATCCGCCCATAATGATGAATCCGCCTGGCGGTGTCATCTGGCCCCCAGCCACGTTGACCAGCAACTAAAAGGGCTGTTCGTATTTGCAGACAATATCGGCTGGCCAGGACTGGATGCATTCAAGAGCGCACTGCGGTCCAAGCTTGAGGGTGAGGGGGTGGAAAAGAAACTCGAAGCCGCCTACACCATACCTCTCACCAACTCGCTACCTGCAGAGTATTCCACACTGGACTTGACAAAAGAGATGTATAGCAGATCTCCATCGCGCCGCCTGCTCCTCCTTCATTCTCCGCACAGCATACGTCCCTTGAACATTGGTGGTTGGATTACGCGTAGCTGGCTCGCGGGGTTGGTAATCCCTGGCGAGTCCATCAGCCACCTTCTCATGGCAACCATCGTCGAAAATGACGAAGAGGCGATGGCTACACTTGGACCAGTCGCCAACGTTTACGGTGGTTTCACGTACAAGGGGAAGACCTGGTGGAGTAAGAAGTGCATTGTTGGGCGAGTTCTAGCCAGCCAGCCGGGTACAAAGGTTTGTCTGGCCTGGCTGGCAAGCTGCATAGTGCCCAAGAACTCTAAAAACGGTGAGCACTTTGTCAACACGTGGTATGAGGTGGATGTCCGCGAGCCGCCCCGACGTCCAGGCAAGCCACGCATCAAACACGGAAACCGGCTTTCCTTTGACTCTACGCCTCTGGGTTTGGGAGAGCTTACGAGTGGCGTATTCTTGCTGCCTGTCGATGGCCCCTGCGATAGCTGGTCGAAAGCAAACATCGACTTTCAGGACCTCACCTTCTCCGTTGATACGAAACGAACAAGCCATAACCTGACCGTGGTCCAAAAGGCCTATGCCAATTTTCTTCTCGCTTCCACTGCTACTGGACCCACCCCGGTGTCGTTCGAGTTGGCCTACAACGTACGATTCATTTCTTCCCACGAGTGCCGTCCACCCGGGGGGTCGGTCAACTATCAAAATCCCCCAAGCACAGCGGATGGCGGGTTGTCATCCTCGTCATCAAGCCATGTCTCTCATAGACATCATCGTTTGCCGGGCCACCCGTTGCACCGATCGTACGCGTTCAAGTGGGTGCCTCTAGAATCCTTAGCGGAGACATCTCACTCGGATGGCCACAGCAGCGGACTAGGTAAGGAAGAGATCCTCCTTCTCGACGCGCGGGGCTCGCACGACAAGGAAACATTTGCACGAGCATGGTGTGCGTCTGTTGGACATCATGCCGTCATTGGCAAGGTCGGACGGACCTGTCTGGCGTGTTGCATTCGCGAAGCCCGAGCGTTGCAGGTGAAAGTGGTGATTCGCATTGGGGACGGGATGTCGACGCCATCTTCGTCGATCCAGGTGTTGTATGGTGGGGAGTAGGATAGTTTGATAGGTTGACACTTAGAAGGGTTTGGTTTCCGGTCGCACGTAGTGATGCCTGCCATTTTCCCGTGTCGTTTGTATGTAGTAATATCCTTCGAAAATACTCTGATCTAGACATGGCCTATATGTAGGTAGCTGCCTGGTAAATTGGGGGTTAGCTGCATAGTGTTACGGCACACAGGATGCTGCCCTTCAGACCGGGGCGGTTTGCCTGAGAGGCAAATACCCGTTTGGTGTCACCCACACCATCTCCCTCACTTGCTCACTTGCTCGTTGCTCTTTCGAACTCTTCTTCGCCTGTGAGTATCCATCTCTGGTAATTCTCCTTCGGTGCCATATATACCTCAAGGCCTCCAAAGCATCCTCCATCTCTTTCTTATCGCCATCACCTCCTATATACTACTGCATTTCTTATATATTATCTCCCCATTCTGCATACTATACGATGCTGCTATATACAACCCCATCATGTCGCCATCTTCCCCATTCATATTCCCTCTTTGGGCTGGTCTTTCAACTTTACCTCGTGCAAAACATTTCGTCTTGGATAGGGGCGAGACGCGCTTTGTGGAGTTCTATCGACAGCGATACGGTGCTCATTGCCACGATATATACTGATACCAATTTCTTTGAGACCTGACTATCCTCAGAAGAAGCTGTTTTCAAGATTATACGGGAAACTCCGCGGTTCAGGAGGACAGGATTGCGAAGACTTTTTCGAGGGTGTTTCTTGCTAGATCTATTCAGGATGGTTTGGATTGGGACAGTGCGCTGCAAGATGCTGTTGCTGCCAAGGATGCAGTTGACTTCTGTTTGGAGAAGCATGAGTATCTGAAGAAATGGGCGGAGGTGATGAGGCACCTGATGGGACATTCGCGATGAAAACGAGTCTTTGAAATGTCTTGTGGTTGATGATGTGCATATCTCAAATCACTTTGGAGGTAGATTGTCGACTATCTTGTATACTCTGCACTTGGGATACGAAAACCCACCCACGACTCTTGATACGGCCGGTGCAGCGATCAGGGTGGAAATCACAACATTCAATTACAACCCATTAGCGAAGATCTTCTGGACAAGACCACATTCATGTGGAAACGGCATAACCTGAAACATATCGTGTTTCTGTATGTCTCTGCTCTGTCAAGTCTGTTTCACCCGTTCTTCCTCCCTTTTCCTGTGGCTCAGCTGTGTCTGAGTGTTTGAGCACGATCGCTATACCATGTCAGACAGTTTCTCAACTCCACAGCTAATGTTTCAGAAAATCTAGATGACCTACCTCAACACGATTTTCCGATATTCCTGCGAAAAAGCTCCGCCATTGTTCCTCACTGGCGGTTTCCAGCGACCCTTGGCCTTCCCAATCGTATCGGGTTATACTTGTTCATTCGACTTATAAACGTGCTTAGCGTTTTGGTCCATGGGGATTCGAAATCCGCACAGAATCTGGGCGATGGTCGAATCATGGGGATATCGATAAAGGGAGAGAATAACCACAAGGTATGCAATCTGAGTCTAATCAAATCTTGCTTAAAGTTAATCAAACCTGGCTTTCACAGGCTCTGAAAAAAGCATGACCCTCGGCCTAACCCTCGAAGACGTCAGCACAGCTGCTTTGCACGATGAAGACTAATGGCCCGACTGGTCGTTTCTCGGTATATAATTCACGGGGAGGATTAGCGAGCATCCTTGGAGCTGGGATTCTCTAAGACAACTCTCTTCCCCCAGCCACACGTCTGTTGCGTCTTTTCCGATCCATATGTTGGCCTCACAAACCCTGCAGCTGTGGTAGAACGGCAAAGACGACAGTTAGGAGAAGTTAGCCGTGGTGCGAGGAGCCATGGTGCATATTGTTGTGAATTCTCATCGCAACACGTGGTTGGATATAGCCACAACTGCCACTGGACAGGCCTTCCAAACCACAGGTTTTCTCAGTTCCTGCCTGAAATTTCCACATTGCTTGTACTCCACAGTCGTCATTAACACTGCTTCGAGGGCTGGATTGTCCCATTCACCATACATCAGACGAGGGACGCGAGCAGCAGCTTCCCAATGCGCCCAGCAAGAAGGTCGGGCCCTCTGAATTGGGCGATACAACTCTCAGGGCATTGATCTCACCATTAGACCGAGTGAGAGACCTCCGGCACCGCCAGTCGAAGGAGATTCAATGGTGGAGCCCCCGACCGTTGATCACGTACCTGTCTTGCTACCTGGGTGGTTTTGTGTCAAGTGGTAGTCTAAAGGAGGCTATGAGTGAATGTTGACACCAGTGTTCGTGGGCTTAGAAACACACCGATGGCTCTCCTGCGCAGCTGCTACGCCTTCCACTATCCCAAATGTTCAGGAGGTCTAGACCGAAGCTATTTAACCTATACGCATTCTCTGCGGGACAAGTGATCTAGAACGTGACTCGCATTCTTACACTCGGTGGCATGTTTCTCGCTTCTTCGAACAGAGGATCCAAGCAATCGATTCCTATGTCTTGAAGCAACGCTTACAGCAAGTACTCATGCGCAACCGGACAACTCCGGGGGTTATTTATCACTGTAGGTCCTTGCACCTTGCCAGTCATGTGGGTTGTTATGTCTCGACTAACATTTCATTAAGTCTTTATCCAGACTTTGGGTCAACAGTCATCCCGATTAGGTGTAATTTACAATTTCTCTAGTATATTTTCCTCGAGCATCAACGGAACGACCATTGCTGGATTCGGATTACAACGGTGAAAGATGACGGGTTTACATGCTTCAGGTGTTACCTTACGCCGCTCCATAGTCACCTGCTGAGTAGTCTAGATGGTGCATGATCGTGACCGCTCGGATAGGGTTGCGCAAAGAGCGGTTCGTTTGCTGCCACCGCACTCTTTGGTCAAAGGGCTACAGCCTGGACACCGGCGGAAAATACATGGCGTTACAGACACACGGGGATAGTACGTCAGGTCTCGAGCGTTTGAGAACGGTTTCTATAGGAGGATCAAGGAGAACTATTGTTGGAGGTAGCGGCAGAGAGCGACCCATAAATGAGTACAGCCAACAGTGATGGCTGCGTGTGTGAGAGCACGACTGGAGAAGATGAAGTCAGCTTGTGCTTGGTCTAGTCAGGATGCGATCAATGCAGACAATGCTTTGTCAGAAAACATCCACCAATTCCCATTCCACATCTCCTTGCTTCTAGTGTACTCCCATCGAATGCTCTCAGAGCTGCGAACTGGTCTCCCGAATGCCACACTGCTGCTAATGGCTGCTTGGATGTTTTATGGTGCTCTCACCCCGATCAGCTCCATCGTTGGCAGTTTCGGTGGTCAAGGTTTTTGGTTTGATATCAACGAAACTAGATCTCGAGGTCTGCAATGCTCTTAGTTCTCGAGTCTCTGTGCAAAATCTCTCCTGTTGTTGAGTGTCGATGAAGTCGATGACTGCCTGCATGGTTGTACGCGGGGTGAGTGGTGCTCTGAAATTTGGAATTGCCCTTATCCATCTCCTGCTACCATGCATAGCATGAAATCCAGAAGACCAGTGAGGCGACACCGTATCAGACGCTTTACGGAGACGCCGAACTGTCGATACGACGCCTCCGCCCCATCGTCTGGATCTGTTCTGTGGCATATGGTTCCCGGCCTCCAACAGGCCCATTTATAGAACGATACAAGGTATGTAGAACCCCAACAAGCTTAGCCTAGCTGGTTAGTATACCATGTGTGATTAACTAATTGTGCGAAATGGATACAGGTCACTCGACTCGTAAAGCAACCCCTGGACATTAGGCGGTGCGTGTTGTCACTCGTGCTATCAGTGCCTCGTCGCGACGGATTTCCGACCATGTATTGTCTCATGAGAAAGACAACCCCGGCACATTGCAAGAGCAACCAGTATCGCCACGATGCGTCCCAGAACCTCGAAGTTGCGGTACTCAAATGTCATCACACGTATTTAAGTGTCTGGTCCAACAACGCACAGCTGCAATTGTGGCTGCGGCCATCGCAGTGAACGACGTGCTCGTCAATCATAATCAAAGAGATTCATCTTTTTTCTCGAATGATTTTTCAATGTGCCAATCCGATAGTCAGAAACCTTGGAAAGCTGGCTAGTCAGAAGTAACCACGCGGAAGCGCAGTTCGCCATGTCTTCCTACGGCCCTTGCTAGATCAGGACGGAGGATATGTCGCTATCCTGTCATCACAGGTCCAGGGAACTGTTACTGGAGCGTCGATCGACTCTGTTTGTATTCATTCTGGCGGGGCGCTCGGCATCAGTTTCAATCATCTATTGCTATACTGGTTGTTAACCCACCCCTAAAATACCACTGCGTCATCGAACACTATCTACCTAGCTCCCAGCTTATGCTTCTCTATATTTCCTAGTTGCTATCCCCCAGCCAGTATCCATCGTACAGATTCTGCATGGATTGATTTCTTGTTCCCATGCTCTCTATTTCATTCTAAGTACCCAGAGAAACCGATGGCTTTGGAAAGCATTTATCAACCAAGCAAGAACGTCAAAACCGGCCCGGAATATACACTACACAGTCTTCCTTTCCACTCTGGGCAATGGCTCAAGCTCAGTGATCATTTCTTGGTATCTTTATACCCAATTATACGCTGTCTTCGAGATAATTGCGTTAGAGCTACTGCGCTAGAAATACCCTTCGAAGAGGACTATGTGGACTTGCATAGAAGGGAAAAGTAGTTGGAGATACATTCCTCCCCATATGCAGACACCTTATTCTTTCTATTACATCCAGCTATAGTGTCGTCTGGGATAAGGTGCTGAGTAGTCCAATTTGAATGAGGAGAGCCTGAAGTCTTGCTAGAAAGCATAGAGATAGTCCTGAGGGAGAGAAAGAAGGCAGAGAGAAAAGAATAAATAAGATACTCCCAACTACTCGGAAAATTCAGAACAGGTAGATAGCGTCCCTTCGACTCGACATGGGGATCAAGAAGTCGAAAATAAGATGGAGATGAGATGAGATGAGATGACCGACGACGAGGAGGAAACCTTTCACCGTGATGACGGGGATTCTATGTTTACCTATCTACGAGTCTATTCCCTATTTAAGAAAAGAAAAAGAAAAGAACGGATTATATTACATATCAAATGCTTCTCTTCTACTCTCTTCTCTACTCGGTTCTAAAATTCCGCATATGCATATTGAGAAGAAAAAAATATTGATCCATGTATATACTAATATCGCGTATTACAATGATTATACTTCCATTATCTTTTCATAGTACATCTATATATCTATCTCTGGTATTCTTATTTATTCATACTCTTGGTTCTTGCTTTAGTCTAAGTTATTTCCGAGTATATTTCTCAAAAGGAATTCTCTCTTTCGGAGGGAGTCCGACTACATATGTCATCTCTTATTTCATCCACGTCGCTCAAATTTTCTCTTTTGGTGAGGAATGAAGAGGAATGGTATGTACGAATGAATGAATGCTAATATAGTTTATTTCAAGTAGATTTTCTAAATGAGTGAAGATGTACTGGGAGTAATTAATAAGTAGCTGTTCAATCTATGAATATATATTTTCAGGAACAGTACCGTATCAAGCAGTAGCTTTTGTGGGCTATATCAGAAACACCAATCCTTTCTAATTCCCCCTGGGAAGAACAGAACTCAGATGGGATGATATTATTGTTTTACTACTATACTACATCATGATCTGGTAAATAAAACTTCGGAGCGGACGCGGCAGCATTTCCCACTAAATTGTTCGCTCCTCTCGAAGGAGCGGGATCCATGTCTTTTACTCCCTTTATAGCAGTCGCTAAATATAGCTTGGCTTGCCTCGCATTGCTGCAAGTTATGTTGGTTGGATACTGAATCCAACGTCTAGGAGGATTTTGATTCGACCTGCATTGAGTTGATGCAGCAAGTTATGGTGAGGCGTTCCAGTACCCCTGACGACACGGCGAGTCTAGATTTTGATTTGAGCAGCGCTGGTGTCTATGTCGAGAGGTAGGCACTAAGAGATAATTGTCTGGGAACACTACTCTGTGTCTGATGTTGGAACGAAAGTTCTTGATCGCATTTTTGCTCATCGCGATTAGAGATGATGAACGTTTTCCCCGTTGTACTATGCTCTAGGGTATATCCCAGTTGAAGAAGAAAGCATCATGCAGTGCAGCGAGAGAGTAGTTCTGACTCGAGCATGCTGTCATAGTCTGTAGAGACATCAAGCTTGTACTGGACATCAGAAGAGAAAGTCATCTGTCTGTATAGCCATCAGCTCTCAAGGGACCAAATATTAGCGTAGGTAGACCAGCAAGCGACCCAAGCTGCAGTGTCCAACCCATCCATACTCCCTGCCACTAGCGTTGCCTTTCTTGGCGGTTATATCGTCACCCCCCGACGGACGACTGTGATAAATCAGCAACCGACGGACTGCCAAATTGTGGTGAGTTCCTTCACTTGTGCCGCACTATACCCTCGAGACTGATATCCCATCTCGCACTTTGCCAGACTTGCGCCTGCTGCGTCTCGTGGCATCTTGTGTGGCAAACCGTGGAACCAGGGATTCCGTATAATTCCAACTTCGATAATCTAAGTCATCTATCCGTTAGTCATCTCTTCAACGTAGACGATCATGATCTGGAGACTGTTATCAGTAGAATCGTGTTCTTACCGTCGTTATCGACCTAAGCCAAGCGCTGCCCCAGATCATGACAGAGCCATTGGGCTTATCAACGTCATTATCTGAGCCACTGCACGAGGCAGTCCGCATCCACAGCCCATGCTTTAGACAAGTAGCTAACTGTTGTGGATAAGCATGAAGTACCGAGCGACAAAAGAGGAGACAGGCATCATCAACCAAGCTTGGACAGTCCAGTAGACTTCTTATAGAGCTGTTCCTCAGACAGTGATAGAACCATGGGGTCACTGAAGATAGAGAAAAGCCTCAGTATCCTTCTGCGCCATCTTCACTCATGGTCCAGTATACCCGATCCGAGCAACAGCCAGTCGTCATGCCGCGGAGGAAGCTAAACAAACCAGAAGAAGAAGAATATTCAGTAAGAATAACAAATGAGAAAGTGACACACTGGAAGTAGAAACTAACCAGAAGCTCGATATCCCCATTGAGACAGGTCAAGGGGTCCACGTCAAGCTGATACCTCCGTGTGGTCATGGCTCAATCACGCAGCTGCTGGGTCTCTGCTGTAGCTTTTGAGACTAGTTTCACATCCTGATAAAGAAGACGGTTAGTTCGGTGCTTCTATCTTGTTCATGGGTCATTTTGGAAGAGGAGCAGCTGGATCTGTGCGTTTCTGAGAATGACGGCTAGAAAATTTCCTGCGTGGAGTGTATGAATCACAGTATTGATGAGTGCAATGCCAAGATGGCACAACAGAGCAGTCACATCCTCTAGTCCACAGTAGATAGATAGATAGATAGATAGATTGAAATCTCAAAGGAATGGGATCGTGGTTCTTCAGACGCGAGTGATGATCGTCTCTGAAGGAAAGTTGCGGTCAACGCCGACTACCCGGATTGGTGCTAGCCGATATCTACTATTACTACTACTAGTAGTATCTATGGAGGGGGAGATACTACGTACCTGAATCCGGCAGTATTCAATTTCACGGAGCATGACCGAGAAGTATACTCGAGTACATGGATGTATGAGACTACTAAAGACATAAAAGTACATATGACAGATGTCCCGAAAGTACATACTCCCTGCACATCGGCACTAAAAGGACAACAGATACTGCAAGTGGAATGGCCATGTCTCAGGCACCAGCAGGAAAGACAGCAATCAATTCGCTACTCTGTCTTTCATCCACCCCCCAACCAACAGGCTACACTATTCATCTACACCGTTTGCATCGCCCCCGTGGCCATATCTCATCTCCAAGGCCGTATACGGATTCAGTGGGTCACTTTGAGAGAGTCAAAGGTGGTACGGTTAACCCATCTCGAGTGGTCTGTTAGGCAGCGGAGAGAGAAGGGATGTAGGGAGGGAGGGAGAAGGGGGGTTGCAAATGGCGCTATAAAGGTGATACAAACCTGTATCTGCTGCTGGTCTATCAATGCTGCCAAACCCACCATAGTAACCCCGATTTCTGGCTAGGATCTCGTGTTTGCAATGCCGGTATGACACCGACCGGAAAGCCAATCGCGACCGCAGCATTCTTCATCCAGAAATTCACCGGGGTACGTGAGGGAGCCATGATATACGAGCACGCCAGATGCCAAGCACCAGACACAATTTTTTTCTTTTCTAGTTGCAAACAAGATTTTGCGGCTTTTCCAATCGGCGCGATGCGTCAAGACACACTAAACCCAAACTCCCCCCCTTCCCCCCCCTCCCCTCCCCTCTCCCTCTCCCCAAAGCATCTATACCAGAAGGGTGCACTCCGTGCCCGACACACGCCTTACTATGAGTGGAAAGTAAGCAAGCAACCAGGCTAACCTTTAGCCCGGCACTCCCAGGGTTAGAACAGGACCGGCTTGTTTCATCCTCGCGGGCACTTGTCTCGAAAGGGACATGCTCGACTGGAGGGTCGGCCCTGCGACTGGATTGCTGAGCGTGTAGACTGGGGTCCTTACGTGTCCGGCGCTGAGCTTTACCGATGCAAAAAGAGTGGGCGGGTATAACTTCGATTAATGCATTTGATGATGGAACAGGAGATGGTGTATCGCTTCTCCCTTCGTAGTGCTACCGTAAGGAAAGAAAAAGTCTGCGCTAAAAAGCAATATGACCGACGCCCCTATTTCTTTTTCTTTTCTTTTTCTCTCTTAGGCTGAATTTTTGCTTTTTCAATAACCGTTACGGACAGTCGATAAGGGTGCGTCGCATGGTCCGCCAACCGTAGGGCGCCGAAATTGTTTCATAGATAGGCAAACCTATCTAGGCACCCTTTTGGGTACCCCTGCCAGACAGGGATGCTTTTGAACTTTTTGACAATCCATTTTTTTGTTATCTTATATGTCATAATCGATAGATCTCGTTCTTCCGAGGAAATAAAGAACCAAACAAGGGAAAAGCAAAAAACAAAAAAAAAGTAAAATAAAACGGGGGGAAACAAACGACCCACGAACGTCAAGGATCTCCGGCCCGGCAGAGACCCTTGAGATCGAACAAACAGAAAACCGAAGAAGCTCGGGGCTCGGAAATTCGCTCAGGGTCTGTTTCGGATGGATAGATCATACGGAAGATCAATGGAAACAGCAAAGCTGGGATCGTGATGGCGCGCGTCGTATCATCGTATGTCGAGTGTAGTAGTAGAGTAGACTATCTAGTTAGTAGTTACTTGTTGGTCTGTTAATAGATTAGGACATAATTACTGCATCGAGTGAGAACTCCGCCGATTCACTCCATCAGCCATGGGTGGTGAAAAGGCAGGCGCCATTGTGATTGGCTCCGATTCAGTCCAAGAGGACAGATGGCGTGGCCCTGCTGTGGGTTAGAGTCCAGTCGGACCGTAGATTCCTACCTACTTTGTACGACTCCCACCAACAGGAGGAGGTAATCTGTCGGAGGGGAGCGAGCAACACATGCCAGACTGACCGGCTGAAAGCAGGGAAGAATCATTATTGCCATGTTAGTTTCTCTCTTGTTATTGCCGCGCACTTATCATCATCGTCATCAGCAGCAGCAGCAGCAGCAGCATTGACTGGGTTAAACCAATGGTCGCTCATTCATTAGTTAGGGATTAAGTTTCACCCCTCGGAGAATTTTGACGCATGGCTTCTCGTGGAGAGGACCACCAGTGGTGCAGCGAAACACTGGGTTAGTGTTCATTTTAGTCCCTGCAGAAGCCGGGGGGGATGTGGGTGGGAAGAGAGGCGTGCGTATGTGGCCGTTAATCAGGAGGTAGTCTAGTCTATTCTAGTGTAGTAGTAGACCATAGCCAAGGCCATTGTTCTTTCCGGTTAAGTAGCAAAGTAAGAAGTCGGAACTGGGCAACCGCCCGTTTCCCACCTATTGAAAGGCAGTGCTCCGTCCGGCGGACCGCGATGATCAGATAATGATTTGTATGATAGGGCAGAGCGTTGATGGATGAGGCGAACTTGTTTCAAGTCCGATACGAGAGAATAAATGCCACTAAACAGCGCTAGGGCGAGGTGCGACTGCGGTGTTCAGGGAGAAAAGTGGAAGTTGCCAACGATCTTCGTCTCTTCGCTTACGTATATCGGCTGCCCGATCCCGCTAGCGACGCAGAGGCTGACCAAAGTAGCAATATCCACGCGTTTGAGTCCCAGGTACCTTACTATCCGAATCTCCCTAACCACTGACTATCTTGCTGAATCCAGTTAATGTACCAAGAATCATTGTAGATTGCATAACATGTTTAATATCTGCCATTATACCTTCTTCACCAAGCAGCTAGTATCAGTGATAAAAAAAAAATAAATAAATAAATAAATAATAAAAAAGACCGTCAGTAACGCTTCCCATCAGTCTCCCATCTGTGAAATTACGAACCAGAAAAGGACAGCGTGCCATTGTCCGTCAGTTAATCAATTGAAGGGTCCAGCGGATACACCAAGTTCCTTTTGGAGTTACGCAGGTACGTAATGGCCCAGAAAGTGCACACGGTAAGTGGAGGAAACCATCCGAGTTGTGTCTTTGATTTTATCCTGGGAAGGGAAAGGAACTAAGTTCGGAGCCGAATTTATCCATCCATGGCTAACGAAAGCGCTACTAATAATAAATTGGAGGCCCAAGAGGACCCTGAAAGGCCAAGCAATCTGCTTGGGTTTGGCATGGGTGCTATAATGCTGGCTAAGTGCGTAGTTTACATGCATGTCACCATTCCATACTTTGATTGTATATATATATTAAATAAATCTATGTAAATATATATAAATTAATTCAAACAATAGATAAACAAAAGTCGCGCATCCCTCCTGTTCCCTAAGAGAAGGAAAATCTTTCAAGCCCATTACTTTAATCTTAACACATATGCCTGATCCAGGTAGAGTGAGTGTCCCCATCCATGTCGAACTGGACAAGTGGACTTTTCGCCTAGACTAGTAAAAGCACTCATGCCATCATCAATCAGCAGCAACAGCAGCAGCAGCAGCAACAGTAGTGGCAGTGGCGGTGATTTCTTGTCATCATACGATTCTGGAAGTACCTCCGAATGCGACCTTGACAATTCCCATTGGAGTCTGTTTCCTTTCTACTACTGCGATCGACTGCAAACGCAATCCCTTACTGAGCAAAACCACTACACTCGGCCAGGCAAGCCCACTGGCTACACTAGGATTGCAGATGTGATCCTTAAATCAAACCTTGGCTTGGAAGAGGCCCACCTGATTTCTGACAGATCCAGTCTCGCTCTCTCTGCCTCTTATGGCGGAGTATATTTCCAGGGTACATGCAGGTACGAAGTCAGCATGGACGTGGATGTGGGCTGGGCTTGGGCTGTACACAGCAAGGTGTGGGTGTGGATGGGCTGAGAGATAGCCGCTATGGCCGACTGGCTGACTGACGCGGGCGCGCCGCTGCTCTATTCTACTAGAATTGTCTCTGGTTGCGTGTCCGTAGCAGTAGGAACCATTCCAGAGTTAGGCGAGAAACAGAGCATTTGCTGAATATCACCTAGTTCAGTGGAATCCAGTTCGAGCGAAATCAGAGGGTGAGAGAGGGGGAAAGTAAAGAGAGAAAAAGAGAAAGAAGAAAAAAAAAATTTTTTTTTATCAAAATGAAATAAAAAATAATCAAAAGAGAAACCGAAAAAAATGAAAATAAAAAATAAAATGAAGCCCCATGTCCATCCTCATTAACTCATCTGTGGAAACACCAGTGGGATTGCTGGAATGTGCAAGTCAGGATGACGATGATTAGGCCCCTGCCCCATGCCCTGCGGCGGCTCACCAATCAACAGCGTGACCGCTTGGCGAGGATGACGACTCCAGGGCTTCTCGAAGCTCAGCAAACTTCGAGTCTCTGTTTCACCTCGCCACTAGTCTGCTTTGGGCGATCTTGCGACCGGACGAAATCCTTCGTCTTCGCCCAGAGGGGAAAGTCCCTCGCGCTGGGGCGCCGCTGGTTGGCTGCAGTCTCCGGCCAGACCCATGCGGCCGCCCAATCGATCGCGGCCGTCACCCTGGCCCCAACGAGGAGTTAAATTTAAAACCACGCTCTTCAGATGCTGAGTGGATGAGAGCCGGGATCCAGATTCCCCAGTTCTTCAAATGATTGACAGGTCTCAGCTATCAGCCTGTCTCTTTCCCCCTCTCTCTCACTCCCCTCTGCTAAGCCCAATGAGGGAGGGAAGAACGCATACCTCCATGGGAACCCCACCCCCCACTCCTCCTACTACTTTGTACGTGAAGTTGAAGTGAAGTAGACTAGACGAGTCTAGTCTAGTCTTGTCTTGGGCGAAGTCTGGTTACAGGCGTCTGTCACAGACCTCTTGGGACCACGGACGACGAGGGTGGGAGAAGTTGGGAGGAACCAGCCGGGGCGGTGCGAGGGATCAGGGGTATCTTTTTCCTCTGTCCGCACCGACCGACCGACGCACGCCTATCTGAGAGGCAAAGTAATGGATGGAGTACCTACTTACTACAGAGTACTAGGTAGGTCCCCATGCACGATGCACACGCATGCTCCGGATGGTATGATAATGATTGGGGTATTTTCTATTGCCGGCTTTTTGACAACCTCCAACCCAAGGTACTTCGTTTCCCCTCTCAAAGGTACCAACCATATGTTCTGGTCCTTTGGGATAAAGGGCTGCAACTTGCATCTCCATCAGTCCAAAGGAAAAAGAAAATAATCACCAATCCCACATTCTGATGCCAGGAACTGGATGGATACAGTCCAGCCCAGCCTTTCCCATGGTCTCCGTCCTTCCTTTCCTCTTTTCCTCTTCTGGCTCGCCTCGACTCGACTCGACAACCTTAAGATCCCACACAGCCACATTCCATGTGACGGCAATGATCCCTGCTAATATTCTCGAATGCCGCCATCACCCTTTTCAGACACTCGTCAATCTCTGCCTGCCTTGGTAGGTTTGATGAGATGTTTCAATTGGACAGTCATTCATCTTGTCCCTGCGCCTGAAGACCTTCAGGCTGTCAGGACTGCTGTTTGGGAATGCCTCCCAACCAACTCCCAACGACTAATCGTAGTAGTATGGAGGGATCTCACATAACATCGGGCAAATCAGTATTCAGCTAGGCAGGTACGTCGAAGTTACCAACGAGTAGCTGAAGTAAATAGTTGGACTAGTGGTCAAGTCCGCCAGTCGGGCAGTCCGACGCAAAGCCTACTAACATTCATTAACTAAATACTCCTCCATAGTCACCTAAAGGTACAGCCTTTTCTTCGCCATGGTATCATCCTCGGGCATATTAATAGTAAACCAGAGAAAGGAAATGGGGTAAAAAAAAAATTATTAAATTTCCAAGAAAAAGAAATAATAATAATAAAGAGTAGTCTCCATACCTAGCCTGGCGTTTCAGCTTGGGTTAGTAAAGGCTTGCCCACCTGAGGCGAGCTAGTTCTCCGACCTGATTCTTCAGCACTGACAGTACCTTAATACTGGGGGGGAATGGGGGGGGAGGAGACACACGATTTCTTCTTTCCTTTAAGGAAAGATTTGGTAATAATGGTTCCGAATAATCCACGCATATTAGATTGCTTGATCTGGCTCTTCGTCATCGCCGGCATCATCAGCACTTTGTCTCATACCTCTCTCCCCATACAGTTTAACCACTGACTCTTGACACTGGGCCTTGTCTGGTTCCTGTGCCTGTCCCTGTTCCTGTTCCTGTTCTCTCTCTCGCTCTTTTGTCTCTGTCCCTTTACTCCTTTCTGCTAATTCTCCATTATCCACTTTGCGACTTACTTTCTGCCTTCCTTTTCCTTCCTTAGCTTCCCCCCCATGGTATAACCCCCATGGAATTTCAACTCCATTGTGCTTGAATCGTCCCAGTAGTCTTTTTATTTTTATTTTATTCCTCCCTCTGTCTTCTTTCTCCCTCTCCCTCTCTCTCTTTTGCGCACACATTTATTTTTTTTATTTTACCCATTTAATTTACCGTTTATCCTTAACTTGTTTTTCCTCTCCATCTCACTTGGTCTTATTTTTTGTTTATTTTTTTATTTTTCCCTATTTACTATTTTACCTTTTTTTTTTTTTTTTTTTTCTCTCTCTACCTCTACCCTCCACCTAATTTGGCTTCCACAGCCCCTTTCTTTGCAGTTCCTTCACGGTCCCCTAAAAAAGAAAAAAAAGCTCCCAGCTTGGCTGTACAGACAATTCATACATCATACTTACTTCCTCCCAACGGGAGCCCAAGAATAATATTATTTCGCTCCGGGTTAAAATCTAAATCCCACCGCGCACAAAGTCCCGAGATCCTAGATCCCGAGCAACCAATTCCACTACTGCAGTGGGCACCCACTACTACGACGGAAGTAGGTCCTCGGTATTTCCTTTCCTCTTACTACCAAGTACTACTACTGGCTTCCTTTGCGACTTGACCACCACTACACTACCACCACCACCACTACTACTACTACCACCGTCTTTCCACTCAACTTGAACTATCGTCCCTCTTCCACCAACCTTTCACCTTCCTTTTCTCGCTGCTTGCCTTTCCTTCAATCGTCCGACGTCCTGTCCAGTCTTCTTCTTTCGCATTTACCTATCTATCCGACGTTTCCCCGCTTATTTTCGCATCCTTGTTGTTCTTATTACCTGCATTCAGATTGCTGGCTCCCTACTAAATAATTAATGATCCTTAATTTGCAGGCCGGTGCACCATTACCCGCTATCAACAAATCATCCTGCTTGGAGAAATTGAACCCTGCGATATTCTCGGACATTGCTTCTCCCTCCTGAAGCCCCGCTCCACGATTAGCAGCGACGCGACGAGCCAAATAATATACGTCCAGCCATTTACCGGTGCTTGCGACTCGGTCTGCCCAAACCCATCGACAAGATCCGAGTCTAGGTGGTGGCTATTCACAGTACCCTGCCCGCTAAGGAACGAGTGCGGAGGCGCACCGTTGGAACGAAGAATACCTCATAACAACATATCCCGATAGTCATCGCTATAATTATTTGCGCTTCTGACTTGGTGACATATTTTTTCTACTCGACACTTTTCACTGTCTAGCGCGGCATATTGCATCATCTCAATCTCTCAACTTTATTCGAAATATCTAATTTTCGCTGCGCACTTGGGCGGTTCGAGACGATCAGCTTGCCCTTCCTCTTTCTCTGTGCGATTAATGTGCTCTAAGCATACAGTCTTCGGTTTTTCATCGCATCATATATAGGGCTATGCCCGCGGTTGTCGAGGATAACACTCCGATAACAAGATCAGAAGGCACAGTCATGGAATCTTCCACTGCGGATAAAAAGCGCAACAAGCTTGGATATCATCGCACCTCTGTCGCATGTGGTAAGCTCTCGGTACTCCGTAGTCTCCGTTAGAATACTCATTTCTTATGCGACAGTACACTGCCGGCGGCGAAAGATCCGATGTCTTGTCGCACCAGATGATGCTCAAGGGCGATGCGAGAATTGTATACGCCTCCGGAAGGAATGCCAGTTCTTCCCTGTCGACCAGCAGCCCCCGATCGAGAAGAAGTCACGTCCCAGTTCTCGTTTAGAAACCGCTTCGACGGACCCCTCGACCGCTTCTTCGTCACCCCCGAATGTGACTGGGGTAGAGCAAGCGGAGCCTTTCTTTACTTATCAGCCCATGCCGTTGGGTTCGAATCCGGATGTGGGCGCCTTCAATACCGCGACCTTCCCGAGCAACCCGATGGCACCATTTACTCCAGGTTTGTGGCCCTACCCAGCAGGAGGAATGTTGGAGTGAAGTGTGTTGACCATTGCCTGAAACAGATCGCAGCGTCGGTGCGGAATTTGTAGGTCCCCCTCCAATGGAAACCGGGGTTCCGTGGGACGAGTATACGACCATCACAGACCCTCAAATGTTAGCGGCTATGCCCGCGGGCAAAGCGATGATGAACATGTCTACGAACGTTTGGGGTGCGACGCCCAATCCCATGGCACCGATGCCAACCACTTCGCCCCTGCCAGGAACGCCCACGGTTCCGTCGCAGTCGCAAGGCCTGGCACAGACACCCACGTATGCCATGCAGCCTGATGGGACGGTCTGGCAAGTACCGCCAACACGTGCGATGACATTCTCGGCACAACCCGCAGACATGGCAATTCCGTATCCGAACCAAGGTCAATTCGTGCAGCCGTCGCCGGCAGATCTCAAGAGAAGGATGACCAGCCCGGCCCAGTCTTTCCCCGGAACTCCAATAAACCCCCAGAGTCCTCCTGCAGCGGATCTACAGTCGGTGTCCGTCTCATACCCAGGCCAGCCGGCCGCTATGGGATTCAACACCTGGCAGGATGTGAACAGCATGTCCCCCATGAGTGTGGTCCAGTATCCGATGTACACGAACGATGCAGCCGCCCAGCAAGCAGGGTTTGGCAGCCCGCCACCAATGGGCCACCCCGGTCCAGGCCAATCCCCGCAATAACGAGCTCGAGAAGAGCGGAGATGACAAGCGCTTCAGAAGGAAAACAAAAAGCATCATCGGATTCGCTATTTAAATACCCCGTGCGACGTATTGCATCCATTTCTTTATCTCACTTCTTTCCCATATCATTCCATCCCATGCATGCACCTTTACTTTTACCGGCTGGTCATTAGCGGGCGCAGAGGATCTTGGGCGGTATTTTACTCTTCTTTGTTCCATGAGACCCCTTTCCTCTTGATTGAGGCATCGTCTATTTACATGTGCGGCTCAGGGAGCAAGTTCTTCTAGACTCTCTTCGTTGCTCTCCGGTTTTTCATTTCATCGAATTTGCTTTTGTTTTTTTTTATCTACTGTTCACATTAGCTTTGGATATCCACGGTGGGGTTCATGAGCTACGCATTCAGCCACCAGCGGGACAGGTGTCTGATCATTGGTTTTGAGTGGCGTTACCGGCCTAGTCCAGTCTCATATGCTGATCCTGGCGCTGTCATGCAGCCCTCGATCGAAGACTAGTCTGGACCGACCCGACTCTTATGATTTCGTTTTGCTTTGCTTTAGTCCCCTGTCCATGCACCTAGTCCCGTCCGTTGTCGGCGAGTCGATTGAAAAGGGCAGACAGACGGATAGAAGGAAAGTGGCCATGTTTATGCTTTTGCTTGTTGCTTTCTTATTGACATAGACTCCCCTATAAGCCACCCTCTACCTCTAGTACCCTATCATTATGAATAGAAAACGGCACACAACTGCCTCTTAGTACACTGCAGATCCCACACGGTCTTTCGGTTTTGCCCCTACTCCTTTCATGCGTAAATCAGAATCCCTTTGGTCGATGGCGCATATGGTATAGCGTATGCCTCTTCCCTAGGCTTATTATGGCAATTGTAATATGCCGTACCCATTTGAGTGGCTCTTATATCATTTCATTAGGCTCCTTGATGTAGCTGCACTCAGATAAATAATGTTTTTTCTGCTCAGTCACACCGGTAGGAGATGCATAATACTAGCCAGCAGTCGCTGAGAGGAACTAGAATGGAGCCAGAACGCAATGGTTAGTGCCAACAACAGCAATATCCGCTGCATCTAAGGATCAATTAGTCACCTTTAGCTCTAGAATCATCTCAACGTGTAATCTCTCCACATATCACCTTCTCACGTACCATCATTGCATATATTCTGCAGCCAGTCCTTTCACATCAGAAGCTTTATATACAAGAATCTCTTCTGGAAACACTTGATACGAGGACAAGCGGCTCGAGACCTCCGCAGTACAACACATCACAGCTAGGTTCCGGCACATGTGTGTGATATACACCCAGGTCTAGATTCCATTTTGTAGATGGACCCATTTGTCGACGCGCAGTAGCCACCGCATTGATTTGTGCGACTGACACCCCAAACATCCCAGCAGTCTATTGCCTACTACGTGAAGTATTTCCGCTTATTACCATCACAACATATCCTTCAAGACGCCAGCCAGACCAGAAATGACATCATCGGTGTGACGCGATCTGGACGCATCCCGATTAGGCAGGCACAGGGTGGTCACGAGGAGCCCTATTGTAGAAGAGAGTTACTACTACAGTTGTCAACTCTCACTCCAGTTTACTCTTTACTACACCATCTTCACCCTCACAGCACAATTCCGAACTACATGTTGTCTGCTATCCTGCTGATGTTACCCATGAAGATACGTCACAGGCAAATTGCTTTTTGTATGTTTGCTTTTCCCGCACCATGTCGATAACACCGTAAAACACTGACGATGTGATTGGGAGATTCCCCAACCCTTGCTAGCTGCAACGGCGATCAGAAGAACAGACAGGCCACCTAAGCAATAGCTTGCCGTCCATTGTTCATCCGAATGACAACCCCGGACCAAACGGATTTTCGGGCTTGGTTGACTGATAAACGCCTTCACAGACGGAACTGCCAATGATAGGGGCATCCTGCAGTACTGCTTATCATACTGTCGGATACACCTGGCGGGATGAAACCGGAGCAGACCAGGAGAAAGTATATTTGCTCCGAGGTGATAACGATCCTCTGATAAGCTCGGTCGGGGATCGAAATTTCGTCAGAGGACATAGTGTCCGGAGCGGAACCATGTTGAAGAATGCTGTGTCGCTGCTCACACTCCTATGGGCTTTGCTCTGTGGCCTTCTGCGGAACTTGAGCATACCGGGTATGAGTCACTGGCCTTTCACAAGTGATCGGTGCGTGTTGTGTGTGAGTGGAAGTGTGGGTATTGGGGGGGTGTGTGTGTGTGTGTGTGTGTGCGCGCCACCGATCGTTCGGTCTGGGGTCCGATAATGCGGAGAGCAACAGCCTCACTTTATTAATATCATCAACGGCCCTGATAGCCAGCATTAGCTGGGCTGATAACAGCTGTCATGCTGCAATCTGATTGCCGCTTTGATGATGATTGCAGGCTCAAGGTACCAGGTTCAGCATCCACGGCGTGACGTGTCTGTGCTTTTCTGGCTCTTATCTCCAGGCTGTCCGGGCGTCTCGATGGCGACAACATGCATAGTTATCAATATGATTATCGCGACTCCTGGTCGATGCTCGGCGAGGGCCCCTGTTCTGACCGAGGGCGCT